CAAGGTAACTGAAAAGTAAGGCTAAGCACACAGGTCAGTTCGTATTGTATATCACATATATAAACCCTTCTTTATTAAAACAATGGGCAATATATTTATATTTTTCCCATAAGGATTCCTTTAGATAGCTTTATATAAATGTGTTAAATACAATACCATAAAATAGCATCTTAAATAAACAGATAAGGAAAAGAGGTTAAAAATGAGATAGGAAAGAAGATAAATGTCTGAAATGAGGTTAGAACATGAAATTCTATTGAAAGATCTTTTATTTTTGCTAAACTTGGCCCACAAAATCGGCTTGGCTCTGCCAAGGCAAAGGAAATGACAATATCATATAAGTGGGCTGTATCCAAAAATAAAACAAATATTTGTGCACATTAAGCACATCTAATCCTCATGCTAAGATAAGATAGTATTTTTTCTTGTGGATCCCTATATCAATAAGGTTAGACTGAATTATGCTGTAGTAACAAACATCAACAAAATCTTAGGGGCTTATGCTAATAAATTAATTACTATAGCCTTGTAGTAAAGCTTGAAGTCTGGTAGATTGATACCTCCCAGTTTGTTCTTTTTGCTTAAGATTTCTTTGGTTATATGAGGTCTTACCTAGTTCCATACAAGAGTAGAATTATTTTTTCTAGGTCTATAAAGAATGATGATAGCACTTTGATAGGGATTAGATTAATTCTGTAGATCACTTTGGGTAGTATGGACATTTTAATAATGTTGATCTGCTAATCCATGAGCAAGGTAGATTTTTCCATCTGTTTATATCTTCTACAATTTCTTTTCTTAGTGTTTCATAGTTCTCTCTGTATATGTCTCTCACCTCTTTTATTAAATATATTCCTAGATATTTAATTTTCTTTGAGGCTATTATAAAAGGTGCTGCATTTTTATTTGATTTTCAGCTTGACTCTTATTGGCTTATATGAATGCCTCTGATATGTATGCATTGATTTTGTATCCTGAGACTTTACTGAATTCATTTATCAATTCAAGGAGTGTCTTGGTTGAATCCTTGGGGTTTTCTAGATATAATATATCATTGGCAAAGAGTGAGAGTTTGATCTCTTTTGCCCCCATTTGGATGCCCTTAATTCCCCTCTCTTGTCTAATTGCTCTAGCAAGGACTTCCAGCACTATGTTGAATAGAAGTGGAGATAGTGGGCAACCTTATCTGGTTCCAGTTCTAAGTGGGAATGGTTTCAGTTTTTCCCCATTCAGTATGATATTGGCTGTGGGTTTATTGTACATGACCTTAATAATTTTAAGGTATGTCCCATCTATGCCTATTTTGTTAAAAGTTTTTATCATAAAGGTGTGCTGGACTTTGTCAAATACTTTTTCTGCATCTCTTGAGAAAATCATATGGTCTTTGTTCTTGCTTTTATTTATGTGGTGTATTGCATTTATACATTTGAGTATGTTGAACCAGCCTTGCATATCTGGGATAAAGCCCACCTGATCATGGTGAATTATTTTTTTGATATGCTGTTGGATTCAATCTGCTAAAATTTTGTTGAGGATTTTTGCATCTATATTCATGAGGGGTATTGGTCTGTAGTTTTCTTTTTTTGTTGTTGTATCCTTTCCTGGCTTTGATATCATGGTGATATTGGCTTCATAGAATGAGTTGGGGAGGATACCATCTTTCTCAATGTTGTGGAATAATTTCTGTAGTATAGGTGAGAGTTCTTTGTATGTTTGGTAAAATTTGGGTGTGAACTCATCTTGGTCTGGGACTTTTCCTTTTAGAAAGGTTTTTAATTGCTGCTCCAATTTCTGTGTTTGATATTGGTCTGTTCAGGAATCCTATTTCTTCATGGTTGAACTCAGGGAGGTTGTAGGTTTCCAGGAATTTGTCCATTTCTTCCACATTATGTAGTTTTGGGGTATATAGGTTTTTATAGTATTCAAAGAAAATGTTTAGTATTTCTGTGGTATCTGTTGTGACCTCTCCTTTTTCATTTGTAATTGAGTTTATTAGAGTCCTTTCCCTTCCAGTTCTTGTCAATATAGCAAGAGGGCTGCACATTGTCTCTTAAAGCTCCCAAAACACACATCATTTCAGCTCAGATTTCTTTATTTCATTGCCCAGAGAAAGCTGTATGGCCACACTTATCTTCAAAGAGCTTAGAGGTTTGCTGTCCTACCTTATACCTTGGAGAGATGAAAAGGTGAATATTTCTGAACAGCCCAACTGATTGCTACACTCTCCCTAGAAAAGTGCTGCATAATGTAATGAACTATGTTGATAGCAAATACAGACAAAGCTAAGTCTATAATATTGCACAATATTAACCAAGGGCATAAAAGACAAAGCAAAATCTGGTTTTAAAAAATGTTTCTACAGGTGGCTAAGAAAAATCATTTTTGATACATACCTCTTTAGTGGTCTACCTAAATTCAAGAATGTATTTCAGATTTTCTAAAGGAATAGATAAAATTTAGTTACTCTTAAGTATATATTGCTTCTCTCAACAAAGTTTTTATAAGTATGAAGTCATAGAGTTTGCTTTTATATACCTTAAGAAATAGCAATATTGGCTAACATTTATACAATATATTATAATGTTCCAGACACTGTGTTTTGCATAAATGTTCTCATTTTGTCCACTTATCAAGTCTATGAGGTAATTATGTTTGGAGAAACTGAGTCTTAAAGTAATTAATTTACCCAAGGTCACTTAGTCAACAAATGGCAGAGCTGGCATTTAAATGTGTGCCCATCCGACTCCAAGGTTTATGTGATTAATTAATACACTACTCTGCTTCCAGAATGCAACTTCAGTTTAACATGCATGTGTTTTAAACAATTGGTGGAGGGGAGTTACATTCATTCCCCTAATAAACAAGAGAGGAGACCTGGCCTGAGGGGAAACCTCACAAACTCTTGAGTGTAATTGTCTTAGGAGATACCTAAAGTGTATATTCTAAATGTATAGCTAAAAGTAATGCTTCTGCTGTTTCTATAGTTTATTCAATTATTGTATTAACATATATATAGCTTACCAGAAATTTAATTTTGCCAAGAAATATGAGTTATTTGCATTTCAAAAAGGTTATTAGAATAAAAACTGCAAAAGTGGATAGAGAAAGCCATACTTACTTGTGTAATTGTCTCCCTTTTAAGGAGACACTAAAGTAAAAGTAAATAGGGGTAATTATGAAAATAAAAATTTCCCAGTGCAGATGAAGGAAGACTGGAACATTTTTTCACTATTGAAATCTCTAAAGACTTATTAAGAATAGTTAAGATATATTTTATTATAGTTTTATCAAATAGAGTAATTTTTGGTTTTGTAGGTAATCTTCCTAAGGATCCAGAGATGCTGAGAACAGAAGATACATGAAAACTCTAATCAAGTGGAAAATTAATATTTTTTTCCTAAAATAAATCAATGTATTAGAGGAAAGTGGGAGGAAAAAAGATAGTAAATACAATCATTTTATTATTATTTATGACTCATATCTAGGTGACTCTTTTTTTTCTTAAGTTTCTTTGTGTTTGTCATTTTTCTCTTACTTTTTGTATATCGCCATTACTCCCAGCTTAGCTATTTGTCTGATATTAATGTATGTTACTTTCTGTTAACAGTAATTCTATAATGGAGGTCAGGTGATCTGAAAAGTAAGCTTTTTATTGTGGGTACAGTGAATATGCAGTAGAGATTCCTTTATTATTGAAATTATGCCTGTTCATAGAATACTAAAACTTAAATGATATTACATACATATATATTTAAGAATGGTTCAAAACAGAGTAAGTTTTAAGAAAACTATATGGTATATCACCTTTCTTGCCCATCTAATTCCAACCTAATATAATAATGTTGGTTCCATTCAAAATTTTAAAATGTAGGTTCCTTGTTAACCAATCCTTTAAAGTGTGGTGAAATTAAACACTTACCTGCCTCTAATATTTCAGGCTAATGTCTAATATTTCTTTATGTCTAATGTCAAAAATCAACCCAAGTGACTTTTCCCAACTCTTAATAGATTTGTCATCAATATTACAATCTTTAGATCTGATTAGTTTTCCTAGTAGCTAATAATCAGTGCAAGAATCTAGAACAAACCTCTCAGACCACCTTTTTCCTCTGCTCTACATTAAGATATACTTAACACCTAGCTTGTGCTTTTACGCTGATTGATATGGCTAATTAAGTCACATGGGTCTCTTTTCCCTTAAGATGTGGCAAGATTTTCTTTGTACCCTCATGTATATTCTTGCTGGTTAGAAGGAAAGATTATCAAGTCTTTGCTTATCTGAATGTGCTGTCAGAATAAGGAAAAAGTTGGACTCTGACAGGCAGCGGTCCAAGTTTCCTGCTGTTTTTAATTAGAGTGTCTTGTAAAGAGCTCTAGACTGAGAAGCCAAAGACTTACATCTGTGTCCTTTCCTTCTGCTACTTAATAAATGGTGGCTTAAACACATCATAGCATTTCTTGCACTTTAGTTTTCTCAACTGTAAATTGTACACGATGTTACTTAATTCAGAATGGATTGTGAAGGTGACATGAGATATTATAAATTAATGAATTCTATTAATATAAACTCTAAAGCCCTATTTAGTAAAAATATGACATGGAATATATATATTTCCTTTTTGAGTCAAGTTATAGCAATACCTTAACATTCTCTCATCCATGTTTACCTTTCTTCATGTTTAGGGTACACTGCCAGAAGGAGAAAGGGGTACATCATGCCTTTTTGTGATAGTGTTTTCACATGAATAGGATTTCAGTAAGCATCAAAGTTGCAAGGACAACATCAAAGGAGTGTCAGCAATGGTCAGCCTGTCCTTACTTCTTGAGTCATGGTCCTAGAATAACTGACCACCTGTAGATACTATTATTTTTGAGTCTTGAATGCTTAATTTCTCCACATTCTTAAAGATGATTTGCAAGTAGAAATTTCATAGATTTGCCACTTTGTGTTGCTTTCATCAATATCAGAATTTAAAAAAATATTTTATTTTCTGTTTTAGCTATTGACTTCAATTTGGTAAAAATTTTGAAGAACCCAAGAGCATATGCAACTTCCACATCTAGGGATGAGTCGAGATTATCAAGACCAGCAACAAAGGTTTGGAGTAGAGTAATTATAAAAAATGTTCTCACTTGTTTAATTTTCAATATAATTCAATTGACTACACTTCATGTAAGTGATGTGGATTATTACATTTTCAACATATATTTTAGAAAAAGATTTAATGGTAAAAAGAGATTTATTTGAAGGGCTTAATCTTACTGTTAAAAAGTTTTATTTTCTACAGACAATAGCCCTCTCTCTAAATGAAAAAAAAAAAAATCATAGCATTTACCTTTTCCTCACAACACTTCTTGTCACCACTTTTCCTTGGGTTGACACACAAAGATTTCTTCTAGTGTTTTCACATGGATATGATCTCAGTAAGCATCAAAGTTGCAAGAACTTCAAAGGAGTGCCAGCAATGGTCAGCCTGTCTTACTTCTTAAGCCATAGTCCTAGAATAACTGACCACATGTAGATACTATTACTTTTGAGTCTTAAATGCTTAGCTTCTCCACATTCTTGAAGGTGCCTTGCAAGTAGAGATTTCATAGATTTGCCACTTTGTGTTGCTTCTGTCAAGATTTGATGAGGTTATTGGCTTAAAATTCCAAATTTGATCTCTTAATTTGCTAATTAGGTTTTAATTCTGTTACAGTCTTTATTGTAAAAATTTTATCTAAATTAATCAAGTTTTAATCATTATTTAAAATCAGAAATTATGCCTATATATAAAAGCCAATTTCTAAAACTCAGTATTTATGTGTTTCTTGGCCTTTAATAATCCAGTTTTATAAAATCTCTTCCTAACTTATCCCAACCTTCACAGTGCTACAAAGGATGGTCTGTAGGTACTTAGGATAGAAACTGGTGATCTGTAGGCATGAATTTTTAGTCGATGACAATGTCACCATTTCCCTTTGGGGCAAGATTGCTAGATTTAGAAATCGGGGATGTATAATAAAAATTGTATATTTGATCTTTAGCAAGCACTAAAAATAGTCTCTTTTGCTTTGTTTACTTTGTTTAGTTGATGAAATATGGATAAATGGATTTGTAACTGACTAAACAACCTTTTTCAGAAGACACTGTTAAAAGATAGAAAGCCAATTGAAAATACATCTGTAGTAGTACACAATATTGCTGCATTATTGGCCTTGTCCCAATGTTTTAGCTTGGCCACCATTAAAAAAAGACAGCAACAAACAAAAAAAAACACCATAGTCTAGGTAGCTTAAATGACAGGAAATTATCTTTCACAGTAGTGGAGGATGGAACTCCAAGACCAAGGAGTCAACCAATTTGGTTTCCTTGTGAAGATTCTCTTGACTTACAGATGGCCTCCTTCTTATTATGTCCTCACATGGCAGAGAGAGCAAGCTCTGGTCTCTTCTTCTTCTTAAAAAGGACACTAATACCATCACTGATGACCTCCTCTAAACGTAATTACTTCCCCAAGGCCCACCTCAAAACACCATCACATTAAGGGTCAGGGCTTCAACACAGGACTTTGAGGGGGACACAAACATTCAGGCCATAACATATAATTAGATAATAATTGGTGTAGTATGTCTATTTTCATAAACTTGCATTGTAAACAGGGTTTAGACAAATGGAAGTGTTTTAAACAGAAAGTAATCAGGATAGTGAAGGGCTCTGAAACTATATTGCTTGAGCAATGATCAAAATTTATAATAGTATTAATCTATAATTATTATAAATTATATTAATTTAATATTTATAATATTTAAATATTAAACTAAATATTTAAAGGCATTTCTTCTGGAAAGGAAAAGACTCTGGAGGCCATAATAACTGTTTTCAATATATAGAGAGCTACTGTTGGAAAGCAGAATTAGGCTTTTTCATTGTGGCTCAAAAAAAAGTATAACATTTATCAATAAGTGAAAACTATAGTGAGATAGATTTCAGCTCAACATAAAGAAGGATTTTCTAAGCACCAAAATTTTCCAAATGTTGAATGGGTTCCTGTGCATTCTCTATCTCTGACAGTGACTTTGGATATGAGCATTGGCAGAACCCATATTCAAGTCTCAAAAATCAAAGTTTAGCTCTCTAATCATTGTCAGCAATTATCCCTTAATAAATTAACAGAAAAATTTGGGCATCAAAACCACTCCTTGGACTATCTAGTTCATCCCTTGTGATTATTGCAAAGTTTACGGGTTTGATTCAAATTTTGTGTTAAATTGACTTTTGACTTATAAAAGTCTTATTTTATGGAATCCTAAAGTGCTCTGACAAATTTCTGCCATTATCTGTTGTAGAATGAATGAAAGCAATGGGGCTTCTGTTGATTTTTTAGGCTATTTGGAGTGGCCTAAAGAGGTCTGTGGGTAACTTGGAACTTTCTACTGTAAAGCATTTAATAAAAGGCTAAGTCTCCACAAAACACTGGATTTGCATTTAATACCTAGTTCAGCTCTTGTCTAGTTGAACTACCCTTAAGCCCAGTGCAATGGCTCATGTCTGTAATCCTAGCACTCTGGGAGGATGAGGTGGGAGGATTTGGACCCCTGCTTGAGACCAGGAGTTTGAGACCATCCTGAACAGGAGCAAGACCCCATCTCTACAAAAAAGAAAGAAAGAAAAGAAAAAATTAGCTGGGCATAGTGGCAGGCACCTATAGTCCCAGCTACTTGGGAGGCTGACGCAGGAGAATTGCTTGAGCCCAGCAGTTTAAGGTTGTAGTGAGCTACGATGACACCAATGCACTCTGGCCCAGGTGACAGAGAGGACTTTGTCTCAAAAAAAAAAACCTCACAGATTCTCATAGAGGAAGAAGGAACTATGAACTATGGTTTTCCTAATTTAATAACTGATAACTGTAGAAAAATAACAGAAATGGCTTTATCTCAAACTTTGGTAGGATAAAATATTTATCTTATATTAACTAAGGCAGAAACAAGAAAAGGGTCACAAAACATCTATTTAGTCAGGCAATTTTTTTTTTTTGCTAAACTCTGCTTGGGCTCTTTTGCATACATTTTAAAGATTAGGCTATGTATAACCCAATGTGAATTACCATGGAAGATTAAGATGAAGGAAGTGATTTACACCATGGAAAATATGTCTGATATTGACATTAAGTTTTCACCATCAAAAAATTGTTTGATTATGGTAGTCCCATGATTTCAAATAATTCTGTAGCAGCTAGGAATTCTGTAAAACATATTATTTGTTAAAACCTGTAGAATGAAAAAGTGACCATAAGCAAAATAAATCCAGAAGAACTTTATTTATCAAGAAAAGCAAATGAAAATAAAATCTTATTTCCCCACAGGAAGTTAAATCAATAATAAGCATCTTGGCATTACAAAGACTGAGGAAAGACTTAAAATATTAGTAGTTATTACATTTAGAGTTGTTGTTTTCTTGACCTAGAGCTCCTGGTCAACAATTTTTTTCCATCCGCACTTTGACTATGTTACCCCACTGCCTTCTGGTCTCCTTTGTTATGATAGAAATTCAGCTGTTAATCTTATTGAGTTTCCCTTATATGGGATGAGTTGTTTTTCTCTTGCTGCTTTTGAGGTTTTCTTTTTGTCTTTGTCTTTAAATATTGTGTCTATGAGGTGTGTACATATGAATTTTTTTTACTTAGAGTTTGTTGAGTTTCTTGGATGTGTTTTCCATAAAATTTGGAAAATTTCAGCGATTATTTCTTTATATTTTTTTCTGGGACTTTTCCTGGCTCTGTTCATTTTCTTCATTCTTTTTTCTTTCTTTTCTTCAGACTAATCTCTATTGAGGTTATTTGAATATTCAAGCTTGATGATAAATCAAAAGTCAAGAAGAGCCTTATTACACATACTCATAGACTCGTACCTTAGTAAATTCATTTAAGATGCTTTGTGAAATTTTCTTTTATTTATTTTAATATAGCAAATAGTAATTTTTATTTATACTTATTATACAGTTATATTTTATTCATAGTTCTTTAAAAACCTAAAAGTAATAATTGACTTGATTCTTTTCTTCCTCTTACAGTCCCATTATAGTAGCTTTGGTCCAGAGTTTTATCGTGTTCTCTTCCATTTTGGAGGTCAGAGTCCACTGATTTTATATTATCTCAAAATGCATGTGACAGGTGGTATTCCCAAAATCCATAGACAAACCAAGATTAAACTAACTGAAATACTCCAAGAACCATATCCTTTTTTAAGCTTTGTTTTAATATGATTTGCTTTGAAAATACTGAAAACATTTTACTAAATGTCTTAATTAAGAAAAAAATTGATTGTGTTTTTTAAATCAATGCCTTTATTTAGCATTTACTCATGCTCAAAAGTTTTGTATCATGTTTGGCTGAAGTATTTTCTCTTTTAGATGTAAGGCTGTGATTTTGCATTTAAGAAAAATAAAACCACTGTAAAACCATGGAACTTTAAAAACTGGTGTACTTAGCTCTCTGATAAAAGGCTATCTTTGCAACTTTACTATTCAGTGTTAAGTTTTAACCATTTGTCAGACTGTGGGACATGGGCTTCTAAGCTTCTCCAAGTAGAGTTCCAAACATGTTTTAACTGTGGAATTCTTTGTTCAAATAAAAATTATCAGAAAGCTCAATGTATAAAATAAAAAACAAATGAAATTGGAGCTATTTGGTTGAAGCAGGGGTGGGATCCCTGAGTTCTATCTACTTATACCCCTGTCCCACCTCTGTATAACCCTTTTTGGCCCAGGCCTCACTGGGGACTCAGATGAGCCCAAAAGGCATCTATTAATAGTACAGTGATCTCATATTAGAGTGTATATAATGATGGGTGTAGAATAAAACATTAAGACTTTTTTTTATATCTATTTCTATCCTAAAAATAAAATATAAGTTATACTTTACTAATATTTAATAAACAGGCACCCTCACTCAGCTGATATTTCAGTGCACACCCTGGCTGTGTAGAATGAGAATGATGAGATCTTTGTACTTGTGTTGTTTTTGAAATATCATAACATATTACTGTTTTATTTTGGTAGTTAAGCAGATTTATATATTATATCATCCAGTCTTAACTAAATTAACACTCACTAATGGATCAATAGCCTAAAAAGACTCCTGAAAAGAAACTGTGGATTGATGATAATATTTATTAATATAATACAAGAATAAATTTTAAACAACAAAAAATGGCAAAGTAATATTTCTCCTACTCCCTGAAGGAGATCCTTTATAGCCATGCTAAAAATGAAATCAATGGTAACTAAATCAGTTCTGCCAGAAATGTAGGTCAAAAAAATAAAAATAAAAATTTTCAAAAAGACTACTTGAAATATGATATACATTATGATTATAAACAATGGATGAAACCCTAAGTATGTGCTTTACATTTCAATATTAGCTAATGGTAATATGATGCTGGTTTAATTAGCAAGGCATTTAAAAACCAACTCTGCAGAATATCAGTACAAATCTCTATAATTTGATAACAAAAAGGTTTTATGTACCATTAATAAATAAAATAAGTTGAATTTTGTTTTTAAAATATTTTTATTTTATCTCACTCTTTTCTATTTATATATTGCATATATTTTATAATAGACATAATATAGTGATACAGATTGACGTATATATTTTATGTTTTAATATAAATATAAATTTATATGGAATTTAAGATTATATCTATATGGGGGTTTACTCAAATACCTTTTACTCATGGGATACATGATCAAAAAAGTATAGAGACCACAGCTCTAGGAGATTCTCGGTAGCCTTCCCAGGACACTTCTTCTCCCATATTTCAGTCAAGTCAACCTCCAGAGCTTCATTGACCACAAGCACATGGACTTAACTTGGACAGCCCTGGACTACAAAGAGAGAGGCAAATTATAGGGCTAAATCAGACTACAGGGCAAGTGCTCAGACTTATAACTTAAGTAGTGATGCAAGAACTCTCATCAACCTTGGATTATGTCCAAAACAAAATTTTTTAAATGTTTAAAAGTCAATTCAAAAACTAGCTAAAACCTTTCACAGTAGATTACTTTTATTTTTTTAATTTTTATATATTCATTTCTCTCTTTTTTTGAACGGGAAACAACAGCTAAAAATTACTTTTATTTTAAACTATTTTTTATTGTGATTATAAAAATGTCAGTATGTGATTGTGTTTGCATTTGTGATGGGCATGAGTTTGTCCAAAAGCTGTGCAAGGATTTATACCACCAGTTTACTGAGAATGTAGGAGAGTGTGAGTATGTGTGGGGGCAGGAAAGGGAGGATATGTAGATATAAAGCATGAAACATTTTAGGAGAACATTTCATCCCGTTAAAATTGGAAAGAAATCAACCTTTGGAAAGTAATGGATCTTTCCATGATGCTTTCAGAGTTTATAAAATATAATACCACTGATAAGCAAAAATGTTTTCAGACTTAATGAACAAAATGATATTGATAATGATGTTTCACTTTCATCAGCACTGGACAGTTTTTCAAAGCATATGTTGAATTCCCCCATACATATTTTTTATTTCAAAATATTAAGGGGATACAAATGTTTTTGTTACATGGATACCTGTTATAATGCTTAAATCAGGACTTTTAGTGTGCCTTTTACCTGAATAGTGTTCATTATACCTGTTAGGTAGGTTTTCACCCCTCCCCTCCACCCTTCTTCTGTTAAGATGGGGCTTCTCCGCCCCCCTCCCACCAGTAAGGTTGTGTCTGTAGCATATTTAAGGTAAGAACCTTTGGCTTTGGTTGTCAGTGCTTTGATGGTGATCTAGGATCTGGATGGATACCTTGGTTATAGATATCCTTAGTTGGTGGTTTTCTCAGTTGCTAGCTGTTTGTAGGCTGTACCAGTGGTGAGCTATGTGTGTGGGCAGATTCTTTGTCTCTCTGTGATGAGAGAGGCTGGAGGTCTTTGAAATCCTTTATCTTTCCCAAGCCCTGTGTTCTTCTTAGCCATGTGAATTATATTGGCATGCTCCATATGATCTCTGAGACAGTAGGTGGTGCTTGTGGGTAAGAATCAACCACACCCTGTATGCTTAAGTCAATAAATGCTATAAATGGCATGCAAATTGGCCTCCCCGTGGGTAGGTGGCACTTGATGGAACAAGCTGCAGTGTTGTTTTGGGGACCTGTGACCAGCTCTAGCCCCTCAGGAGAAGCACTTGAATGCCCTCAGTGGTGGGTGGAGCCCTGGAACTTCCAGGTGAGTCCTTATTCTCCAAGACAGCAGAGGCAGGTGGGAGAGTGAGGCTGGGCAGAGCTGGGTTGGTTGAGCCTGCCCTCAGTCTCCACAAAAGCTGATCAGGTAGCTGTTTCAGTAGGGGTCAAAATTCTGCTCCCAGGCTTCTGGGGAACGTGCCCAGGGAGGAACTGAAGGGGCCCCACCCAGCCAGAAAATCTGCTTGTGGGGGTGGGGCCATTTGAGAGTCACAATCTGGCTGGTAGGGGTGGGTTTTGCTCTTTTACCCACTCCCCTGCTCCATGGTCTCCCTCCAGCATCTGCTAGCAGACAGGAGCTAAAACTAGCTGAGCTTCCCAGCAATGGTGCTGCAGGCTGGGAGCTTCCTATCTAAGATCCTGCCTTGGGCTGAGGGCACCACCTTCCTGTTGGGGGAGGGGTGCTCTGCAAATGCACTGTGGCTGGGGCACACACTGCGCTCTCTTTTCAATTCTGCCCATGCAGGCTCCCTCGCCTCCCAAGATTAGTTCACAAATCTCCACTCTGTGCCCCCAAGCAACATGATCAAGTCCTGCAGGTATGGGTTCTGGCCTGCCGGCCTGTCTCTGAGTCCTCAAAGATCAATCTCTGACCATGCCAGGGAGAAACGTGCTGGTCCTGAGTTGCCTATAGGGTGCTCAAGTAGGTTTGATGTCCCTCAGCTTCGGGGTATGCCTTGCTCTAATAGAGCAGCTCGGCAAGCAGCATCAGGAAGGGCCAGTGAGCAGGGAGCTCACAGTCCAAGCACCCCTTAGTCCTCTGAAGGTTGTTAAGAGGAAAGGGTTGAGCCCCACTCTTTGTGGAAGCCCCAACAGAGGGGAAACAGCAGCTCCTGAGAGCCCCAGCTCAAGCATCTCTCTTGGTAGTCATGGGCAGGGTAGGGGAAGGAGAGGGAAAGAGTCTGAATGGAGGAAAGCTAGCACTCTGGTCGTCTCTGTCACTCTCTCCAGGAGGCAGCCTGCCTGGAATATCCAGGCTCTGGGGTCACGCAGATCCCCGGGACGGACAGGCCCCCTATGCTCCCACAGTCTTGACCAGGGTTGGGAAATGTTTGGGTGAAAATAAGCAAGATGAAAACTGAAGAGCTGAAGCCCTGTGGGGAGGACAAAGGCACCCAGTGGGTGGAGAAGCAATATTGTGCCTGCCACACCTCAGCTTGGGTCTGTGGTGACAGGCAAGCTTCCTAAGGGGGCTGGCAGCCTGGTGCTTTGTCTCCAAGAAACTCCCAGTTCACTGGTGGCAGTAGCTTTGGGGCTTATGAGGGTAGAAAGGCTCTCCAGCAGCTTGGGAGCCTGCTGACTGCCAGAGATGTGAAGGAGGGAGGGAGGAACAAACCACTCCATCTGCCCTTTTCACTGGACTCCAAGCATTGGGGGTTGACCTCTGCTTCTTCTTGTTCTGCTCCTCAACTTCTTGCTGTGGAATCTCTTGTAGGTTTTGGCACTTTTCCCTTGGAATTACACCCTATATATGTCTGTTTATGTTTTTTCTTTTTCATCTAAAACAGTGGTACCCAACCATTTGGGCACCAGGGACTGGTTTCATGAAAGACAATTTTTCCATGGAAGTGGGGGCAGAGGCGGAGCTCAGGTGGTGATGTGAGTAATGGGGAACAGCTATGAATTCAGATGAATCTTTGCTCAGTCACCCACCACTCACCTCCTGCTCTGTGCCACCCTTGCCCCTGTCTGCCCCTTTCTTAAGTTTCATGGAAGACAATTTTTCCACAGATGGGTGTTGCAGCAGAGATCTGCGGCCTGGTCCCTAACAGGCCACAGACTGGTATTGGTCCATGAACTGAGGGTTGGGGACCACCGATCTAAAACTGTTCCTTCTTTCTGAGACAATCTGGCAGCTGGTGTCTGTGGTCAGCCATCTTGTCTCTCACCTGTGAAGACTGTGATCATTGAATTTATCTCTATATTACTCATTTGAAGCTACTCAGCATATAGAACATTTTTATTATTTTTCTCTGGAC